AAAGCCTTAGATAAATTAATTGCTTTTAATTTTATAGCAGCCAAGATATCTATTGGCAAGGCCTGGAAGACAGACAAGGTATCCTTCACCTATTTCACAAGTAAAATGTCTTGGATAATGGCTCATGAAAAACTGACAAGTATATTACAGGACAGACACAAGCAGTTTGGGGATGTGTGGAACCCATGGATGGCTTATATAAGCATATTATTATTATTACATAGTATTTATATAGCACAGTTTGCGGATCGCTTTACAATGTAAGGAAGACATTACCTGTCCCTGAGGGCTTACAATCTGAAAGAGGAGGGGGAAATGATACATGAGGAGGTAGCTGTGTGGGGAAGAATTGTTTGAGAACGTGATGGTTCAGTGGTTAGGTTGAGGTGGGATAGGCTTCCCTGAAGAGATGAGTCTTTAGGGAACGCCTAAAGACAGTCAAGGTGGGAGATAGACGGACAGGTTGGGGTAAAGAGTTCCAGAGGATGGGAGAGACTCTAGAGAAGTCCTGAAGGCGAGTATGGGAGGAGCTGACTAGGGAGCTGGAAAGCAGGAGGTCTAGGGAAGAGCGGATTGGATGGTTAGGGTGATATTTTGAGACCAGGTCTGAGATATATCCGGGGGCAGAGTTGTGGATGGCTTTATAAGTGACTGTTAATATTTTGAATTTTATCCTCTGTGCGAGTGGAAGCCAGTGTAGTGATTGACAGAGGGGGGTTGCAGACACTGAGCGGTTGGTCAAGTAGATGAGTCTGGCAGCTGCATTCATGATAGACTGAAGGGGGAAGCCTGTGTAGAGGAAGGCCAATTAGGAGGGAGTTACAATAGTCAAGATGAGAGATAACAAGGGAGTGTATGAGTAGTTTTGCGGTTTCATTGGTGAGGAAGGGGTGTATTTTGGAGATGTTACGAAGGTGAAGGCGGCAGGATTTGGATAGGGATTGGATGTGGGGAAGAAAGGTGAGGTCCGAGTCAAGGATGACACCTAGGACTTTGGCATGGGGGGAGGGCTAGATAGCTGTGTTATCAATCTCAACTGAAATGTTGGGGGAGGGTGCACGGGCAGAAGGAAATATCAAGAGCTCAGTTTTTGAAAGATTGAGTTTTAAGAAATGTTGTGACATCCAGAGGGATATAAATTGTTTACTGGCATACCGATATCTGTAACCTGTTTTTTATCAAACCTGATTTGACTGGGAGGGGGTAACAAACCTGATTTAACTGGGAGGGGGTAACAGCCTCGGAGCCTTCTTTTTCCTTCCTTCTTTTCTTTTTCCCCATTAATTTTTTTTTTTGCTCCCTTTTGTGATGATGTTTTATTGATCGGCCATTGATGGACCTTTGACCTTACTAATCTTGCACTCCTGAGGGAGTGGGATATGGTGCCAGGGTACTTTTATATTTACAGTTTTATCTTGGCTAGAACCGACCTTGGTTGGTCCAGTATTTTATGGTCTCTTGGTCACTACACTATATTGATATTATCATAGAAGGTGAAGGTAGCTTTACTGGACTCCTAATATCTATTGCTGATTGAATGTCTTCTTCTGTAACCCTTATGTTATGTATGTTTTTGTACCCGAGTTATGTATACTCTGTATCTTTACAAAAAGAAAAAACTGAATAAAAATACTTTGAAAGTAAAAAAAAAAAAATTTAAGTGCCGGTATCGGCACTTAGTGTCTTGTGTATGGGTGGCACCTGGCCTGCCACCCAGACCCAAGACTCAAAAACCGGACTGTATGGGTAAATCACGGACAGGTGGCAACCCTAGCTGCTACTTCCATTCAAAAAATAAATTTAAAGGTATGTAAACGAATACAGAGTTGCATTAGTGTGTGTCTTTATTATGTGCCTACAGGTTAGCCCTAAATCAATAAAAAGCGTTTGTGGAACCAAAACACCAACCCATGGATAGCATTGTTTCAGCCTACTGGACCACATCAGCTTGTGGCTGTAGGTCCTTGGTAGTATGTGAGTGCCACAGGACTAGCAACACTAGGGTACAAAGCACATGTAAGGACACTTCAGGCAATGCTTCCTGGTATGAGGTCCAAAAAATTTCTATGATACCTGAGACATAAACCCTGCTAAATAGAGAATTCTAAGGGTTATTCACAAACAGGTGAAGAGTTTGGAGAAGGCAGGAGACGTGAACAATCTAGGCCAAAATAGCTGATTTGGAAAAATCCCCCAATTCAGCTCTTTCCAGTTCAGCTATGTTGTCCTAGATTGTTCACTTCTCCTGACTTCTCCAAACTCTTCACCCTTTTGTGAATAGCCCTGTAAGTCTCCTAATATAGGGCAGAAACTGAAAAGGTTCCATCTGGGCTTCGAACAATAGAAAACTGTGGTATCCTATACGAATGTATATATTACTTTGAGTGCGTTCTCATCCCATCCAAATATTAATGGGCAGCTGCTCCCATCAAGAAATTGGATTGCATATAAAGTAAGCCACCTGGCGTGGCCCTGATCCCAAATTCCACCGGCTAAAACTCTTGGTGCAATCCACTTCTGAAATCTGCAGGCAGTCTCAGCCTCCCTTGGACTGTCAGAAATTCCCTATAGACAGCTGAAATAAAAATATGCAAACACTTTTAGGATGAAATGTTGACATAAACATAAAAACATAGTAAATGCAAAAAACATGTAAATAGTAAAACATAGTAAATGCAGCATTCTTCTTTAAGTGCAGGGTGGCAAGATGACGTACCTCCAGGAGGTGAACCCTTGATATCCTGGGCTTACAAGAAATGGGTTGAACGATGCTGGTCATCATTTGACCCAGAAATGCCAAACACCATCTAGTGGTGGAAATGAATTACTGGCAGGCTCAGTGCCTGAGATACAATAGGATGAGATGTTTTCAATATTAGTTTTATCTGGACAGTTGGAGTTGGGCTTTAAAGCTGAACTCCAATCAACCAGTAATGTATCTGCAAAGTCATATCGTAGTTAAGTCACAATCTGTAATTCTTACCCCTCCCTAAAACATGTAATTAATTTAAAAAAAATCCTAATAAACTTATTTTCCCCTTTTAACAGTGGTCACATGACTGCTAAATCACCTCTTTTCCCCCCAGCTGCAAAAGCCGGTCGTGAAGACTAAAAATGATGCTCAGCAGCTTCTGCTGATGTCATGGGTTCCAGGAGTTCTCTCACACCATGGGGACCTGTGAAGTGTCCCAGGCTGTAGGCAGTAATACAGGATGATTGGCATCCCTTGACACGCCTTGTTTGTCATTCAACTTGTGAAGGGCTGGGTAGGGAAATGGGTCTGCAGCAGCAGCCTGACTACCGGACTACAGGCATGCTGTGAGTCTTCATGGCATTCTTTAGCTCCCAAGTAGGACACAGGGACACAATCTGACCGCTCTAGCACGGATCAGAATCTGTGCTTAATGTGGTCAGAAGGGGAGCAAGCACCATAGAGGTCCCACGACCGCAACATCAGGTCCCTCATACCTGGAATGTGTGGTGAGTCACCTGCACTCCGTGCAGCGTTGCAATCTTCAAGAGTTGGTGCTTGTAGTGATGACATGGATGGCTCCATGTGGAAGTTAAACATCAGAGACAGATAATCACCAGCACACACGTAACATAATCTCAAGCCTTTATTAGATTTATTGATACATGGCCACATATCGTAGTAAATGCCAACGTTTCGGGACCACGCAGAGTCCCTTCTTCAGGGCATTATAGTGAGGGTCACTATGTCGCCCTGAAGGGACCCTGCATGGCTCTGAAACTTTGGCATTTATGACAATATGTGGATATGTATCAATAAATCTAAGAAAGGGTTGAGAATACGTTACGTGTGTGCTGGTGATGATCTGTCTCTGATGTCCCTCATTCCACCGATTGCACAGTGCATCTACGGGGCACATTCAAGTTAGCTTAACATGTCCCTTCCCTCCTGATTCAACTGTGCATGTAAGCGAGCACCCTGGTAGCATCATACAATGGTCACATGACCACCATTCCCAGAGCCAGAACAACAAAGCGTATGGGTTCCCTTAAGCACTCCTATCACAGGCTAAAGCGGGCACACAAGGGTGGCTCCATGGGACCCTCTAAAGCAGTATAGCCACAAGATGGAAATGGGGAAGTGGCAAACCTCAAAGGAAGAATAAAAACAAGTGATAAGCTGCAGACAGACATCAAGGACCAAACATGATAAGTCCTGCAAGTATGCTGCTATATATCAGATTTTACATTGAGGGTTTAATAAGACTTTAATGAGGACACAGACAGCAGAGATTCACAATTCTTTCTGCTGGTATAAGGCATTATACATTGGACACACATTATGAAATTAACAACTTTCCTAAGGAGACATTCTGAAGAACATGGGATTATGGAAATACACCCACTCCACAGACCAATCAGGCTTTACAAAAACAAGCCTTTTCCCAATTCGCTTCTGCCCAAACTAGGCGAACACCTCGAGAGCACTTCCGCCAGCACAATGACGGACTTCCGCTTTGTTGTTATGCTTCCTCTTTCAATAGAAGAAACTTCCGGTGATGTGTCGAAAGTGCGAACTTATCGAGTTGTGGGACCGCATGACTTCCGGTTTCCTCAGAACTACGATGTTTGCACACAAAACATGTTGTGCACGAGCGCCATCCACGGCATTGCCCTATACACATAGACCGCAGCAATAAAATAATAAAATGATGTAGGATGACAGTAAGCCAGCACGTTCTTTATCTCCGGTGCCCCACTCAATATGGCCGCCGCTTGAGTGGGGCGCCTGAGATAAAGAACGCGCTGGCTTAGTGTCATCCTACATCATTTTATTACTTTATTGCTGTGGTCTATGTCTATAGGGCAATGCCGTGGATGGCGCTCGTGCACAACATGTTTTGTCTAAAAACCTCGTAGTTGTGAGGAAACCGGAAGTAATGCGGTCCCACAACTCGATAAGTTCGTAGTTTTGATCGATCACCGGCTGGGTTCTGAGTAGAGTCCGCCGTGGGTATCTAGTGGGCGGTGTATATAACAGACGCGCTATGGCCGCTGTGCCGATGGAGAGCGGTAAGTGTGTGCCTGGTCTGTACATACCAATCTATAGACACCCCGGGCGGTATGTGGGGGAACCAACAATCTGTTCTCATAGCAGCACATAGAGGGTGTGTGTATCATACCGACTTTCAGTGAACCGTGTTCATTCATTTCAGAGAGGACAGCTGTGTCTGGGGGTACAAATCACTGCCAACAGCAACACAGGCTGGTCATCACTGGCTGGTGTTCTATCGAAAGCTCCAACTCGACGAAATCTCCAACTACCTCACTGCCTGGTACCTGCAAGTTGGAGATTTCAACCAGACTTGTGTTAGACTGCAAAGCACAAAAACTGATGGAGCTCTGTAGAGTTGGAGTTTTCGATAGAACACCGGCTTGCAGATAGAGGGTTATAGATTAAAGGCATAGGCTACCTTTTGTAAAAATCCAATAAATGCACCCACTTGAAAAAATAAACATGCATTTGTAAAATGAGAGCATTGTACCCATGCATCACAGATGTAGTATTGAGCTAGCATTATGGGGCTGAAGGAAGTAAACAATGAACTAGAATTGTGGTGACATCACTGCGCTGGCACTCCATTGAGATCTACGAGTCCCTCTGCTGCGATGGCAGATGGGACCTGTAGTCTCTAGATATTGTAGATTTTCTAATGTGCTACATTGTTCCAAACGCATACAGATGTGAGGGAGCCTCACTGACCAAATCGCTGGCTGGTGATATGATCTTTACCGAGCTCTGCTGCTACTGCTGGGGTGGTCAAGGATCTGGCTGCGGTGTTCGACAACACAAAACTGGCTGCACAGAATTAGAAATATATATTTGTATTCTGTCTACTTAGCTCAGTTAGCTGCTTGCCTAGAAATCAACTTCAGGGTCTGTTTACATATTGTGCTGCAGTTTATTAATGAATGCATGTTATCCTGTAGATTACTGTGCATTGAATTCCAGCACCCCATTTCAATTCACGCCTTACCAGCAAGGAAACAGACATGTAGTGTGTTCCCCTGCTTTGTGGAGAGCTACAAAACATGTGCATTGGATTGCTGCATTGGTGTGATATTCTAAATGAATGGCACTGTGGTATCCATGTTGCCGTATGTATTCGTAACACAACGATGTGAATAGGTCCTTAATGCTCCCATGTGCAGTATGTAGCAAAGAAACAGCCGCTCGCTCCACTGCGATGCTGTTCACATGACATGAGCGCCCCTACAGTGAGCTGATTACAGGAATTTCCTCTACTCATCAGCGCCATCTCGGGACATTAGTGCTGTGCGAATGGCACAGTTGGGTAGAATGAGAGCGCCAGCATGCTGCGCAGTGCTGTACAATCGTTTAGAGACGGCAAGTATGTAATCTAAATTTAGGATGAGATCTTACGTTAGACAGATGTGTGATAAACGAATCACCACATGTGGATATCCAGCTTTAGAGATGTCACCTCATTTTACATTCCTAATGTGAGTGCTGAGCCAGTGAGCATATCATGTAGAAGTATTATCTGCTATGGCAAACCCAGGGATGCCTGATTCATCTACAACAGGGGTGTCCATTAGGTCGATCGCAAAGCGAACACTGGTAGATCGCGACCGGCTCACTGACCTGTGTCCTGTCCTCCCGCGGTGCTCGTGCGGCTGAATGTGTCAGATGCCGCAGACGGGAAGGGGTGGGACACCTCTCCCAGTCTGCACATTCGGCCACACAAGCACCGCGGGAGGACATGGCGCATGGGAGGAGACCCAGGAAGCTGCTGCAGTGGAGGTAAGAAAAGACAGCCTGGAGAGACAGCAGAGAAAGTGAGAGACAGCAGAGAAAGTGGGAGAGGAGGGACAGCAGAGAAAGTGAGAGGAGGGACAGCAGAGAAAGTGAGAGGAGGGACAGCAGAGAAAGTGAGAGGAGGGACAGCAAATAGAAACGGGAGAGAGAAGAGACGGCCAAGAGATGGGGCCGGTTCACACCACAAAGTCTGCGTTCCAGAGTGTTCGGCCTCTAGAACGCACTTGAATGCAAGCAAGCCGACTCCCTGCATTCAGGGGCGGGAGGGGGCGTTCCGGTGCATTGAAGTCAATGGCACGGCAGCCACGCCGGCTGCCGGGAGTGCGATCACCTGGAAAGCAGGCACATTCGTGCCTGCGTTCTGGTCCAGTACGATCTGCAAAAATAGCAGCATTTTTGCAGATCGCACTGGCCTGGAATGCAGACCACTAGTGTGCCTGCGTTCCGGGTGTGGGCGATCGCACTGCGGGGGGCCTGGCTGCTGTGCCATTGACTTCAATGCACCACCATGCCCCCTCCCACCCCTGAATGCAGGTGTTTTTTCGCTGGTGGATCTCATTGAGCTCATCATTTGAAAAGTAGATCTCCAGATGAAAAATTGTGGGCGCCCCTGATATACAGTTTTAGATTAGTATCAAACATTTGTAAGTAATGTTGGCATTTCCTTTCTATCTTCTCTTAGATGAGCAAGCCCGGTATCGGTTCCAGCTGGAGCTAGAGTTTGTTCAGTGCTTGGCCAATCCTAATTACCTGAACTGTAAGTATGTTATAAATGTATTTATTTTTACGTAGATCCTGCTTATTATCTACAAAGCACAAGGAGGGGGAGATATCCATGAAGACAGTGCACAGTACATTATCTCATAGCAGCCAGTCTTTTTTCAGTTTGCTACAATCAGATCAGTAAAAGTGGGGTTGGTTGGTATGTTTTGGTGCCATTGCTGTTAACTGGCTCCAGTACTCTGACCTTCATTGAGCATTAAACCAGAACTCTGGGCAAAATTGTTAAGTGCTCATTTTTGTCTGGGCACTCAAAAAAGTCATACTCACCCGATCCTCCGAGCCAGCTTGCTCATAGACCGGTCCTTCCAGCCTCGCTCCCCCTCCCCTGCAGCGATCTAAGGATCCTCCGATGAATCGCTTACAATACACTGTGTATTAGACGTGAGGACGCCAAGGGACATACCATCGCTGCAGTTTAGGAAGAGATGAGCTGGAGGGAGTGCTGTGAGAGCCGGCAGGCTCCAAGGTTCAGGTGAGTATAACTTTTTTTTATTCTAGTCCCTAGCCAAAAAACAAGCCATTAACCCTTGCAGTGCGGGGGAAGCTCCGCTGCAAGAGTTAAAAACTATTCTGCCCGGAGTTGTTTATTAAAGGAGAACTATGGGGTTCTATCTTTTTTTTATTAATGCATTCCTTAGGCTAAATAAGTAAATGATGTAATTTACTGTAATTAGCCAAAATGCACAGGAAGGCTGTAAACCCTTATTTAAGGTGGCGGACGGGGAAGTGTTTGTATGGCCCAAATATCTTCTAAAATGTGGGATAGCGTGTGAAATGGTTATAACCTTTGTCAAGTTCCCATTACTCTTGATGTCTCGGTTACCACTATACAGGATTTATATTGTGCCCACAGTTTGCACAGCACTTTTCAAAAAAAGGGGGGACAGTACAGATACAATACAGTTCAATTCAAGAGGATCAGGAGGGCCCTGCTTATAAGAGCTTACAATGGAAAAGGTTAGGGAGATTCACCCTCTCTTTGTTCTGGTGACTATCATCACCCAGACAGAAAGTGACGCGAAATCCAAATTGTTTGTGACGGACTCCAGTACTCAGTATGAGTATGTTCGCCGCTGTATTCTTCCTTTCAGGAGATATCCGCTGATCTTTAGCTCCCAGTTACTATTCGAGACCCGAGCGTAGGGTGAAACAAACTCTGATTTATTGAGCAACCTTTGATATTCAAAACGATCAGACGAGATTACAATCCCATCGCATCCACCCTGCCCTCCCTAGACATTCTGACTGCACAACCCCGCACGGGTCCAGCTGCTAAAGAGTAGGGATGGGCCGAGTGTTCGATTCAAACATCGGCAGTTCGAGCGCTCGCCGAACACCAAACTTTATAGGATGTTCGCGGTTTGTTCGACCACGGACATTCCATAATACAAAATGCCCACTGAAGCTCTGATTTGTTAAAGTCTTGCACCTGACCGTAGGTCAGGTGCAAGACTTTGCCCAATCAGGGCTCAGTGGAGGAGAGGCCTGAAGGAGAAAGTTCTCTATCAGGTCCCCCCATGCTGATTGACAGCAGGCAGTGGGCGGGTGCAATAGCCAGCTTGCTATTGGCTATTGCATTTTACAATATCCAATAGCAGGCTGGATATGGCTCAAAGCCTGCAGATGTAGAGGGGGCGGGGCAGAGGAGAAGTGGCCGGACCGGGGGGG